TTTTTGTTTGATTTTATAGAAACTGTCTGTAGTTTAGGTAGATTTGCCAAACACTGTATTAAACAATCGGTTTCCAAAACATTTGAAACATTAATATAACGAAGATTTGGAAAATGTTTGTCAATATTGACTAAAAACTGTTTGATTAGAGGAAAGCCATTAAGTCGAAGACACATCAGATTTGGTGATATTTGAGATTTATTACACAAAATCTGATAATTATTTTCACTGTTATTAGTGTTTTGATAATTACCAAAGTCTTGAACTGTTAGAGACTTTAGAGAATTCATTAGAATTAGCGATGATATCATTTGGTAACAGATTTTTGTGTCTTTATTGACGACAATCCTAAATGATTTTATTTGCCTGCAATTGTGGGCCAATTGATCGGTCAAATTGGGATCAAATATATCACATTTAAAGCATAAGTACAATGTCTTCAAATCAACTAATTTTGACATTTCTACAAACAATACATTAATCCTTTCATCAGTACTCAATTCATCAATTGTGATAAACAAATAGTTTAATCGACAATTGTTAGACATTAATGACTTGATTTGTCTTTCATTCATATCATCCAAACTGAACTCAATTTTACGCAAACCAGTAGTCATCATGAGTTTTGGGATACCATCGGACGACAAGAGAGACGGCATAGATATAGCTGTAAGTGTTTGACATGACTTCGTGATAGCGTAACCAATAAAACCGATGGGAAACTGTGAGCGCAATACTTGTATTGTTGGACCAAACTTGTTGAAGAATTCAAAGATAATGCTAATGCCAACTGTGGTAAAATCAATGGCAACGTGTGTTAAATTATTACARTTTTCAATAATTATTTCAATCAATTGGTCGAATAAAGTTTTTTCCGTATTATGTGTGTCCAGTGGCCAACGTATCTGTTTGGATGCATTATTGTCATACATTTGTTTGCAACTGAAACTAACATTGATTTGTTTAATCCGACGATTAAAGTGAGGTTTTATCGATGGTTTAGACTTAACATTTCGTACGGTGTAATCGATGACATTTAATTGTCGCACATTTGATAACTTCTTGACAATAATGCGAAAGACATCTAAATTGAGTCGTTGACCACTTCTGTGATCAGTTATCTTCAATTTGTCGTAAATTTTTTTATTGATATCCAATAGTTTCTCATTTTTGTAAATCAATCGTTGCCACTGACGGCACACACACTCGTAAATAAACTTTTGTTCAAATGATAAATGACTTAACAATAGTTGACACAAATCGTCGCCAAATCTCACAAATGATGATTTGTTGTATTTTGTTTGAGACATCTTTTAAATATTGTTTGTTTGATAAAAAATTATTTTAAAACATTAAATTTCAATCTAACTTTTAAAAAATATTTATTAACCACTAAACATTTTGTCATTTTATCACTATATTTATACCAAAAACATAACTGTTTGCAGTCATATACAGTAATATGATTCATATTTACTTTTTAATTATCTCTATTAATCCGATAATCTTTATTTATCTTTATTAAAATTTTGTGGAATTTTATTTTGTTAAATATATTCAAATATTAATTTTAAGTATATATTAATTTAAAAACCTGTATTATATCTGTTTTTGTTAAATTATTTGTTACATTAATGTGTTAATCTTTTTATGTCAATATAATTAAGTATCAAATGACAAACAGATTAGTAAATGTCATAAATTAAATCATCTTATATTTAACTTTCAAAGAAAAACTAAGATTTAAAAACGAAACAATTTATAGATATAATGCTTTTAAAGTATTATAGATAATTTAATTATGATTTAGTTTGAAATTTTTTTAACAGTGATAAATATTTATATATAATCAATATTATTTTGTAAACTTTAATGTTTTTTAAAATAAAATATCAGTAAAATAGAAACATTTAATTTATAGTATTATCAATAATGTACAGTACATATTATAGTATAAATTATAGAAACTAGATATTATAGAGTTAATAACAATAAATATATTAAATACCCAAATATGGTATAATATTATATAATTGATGTAATTTGTAATAATTATAAAATATTATAATTATTTAAATGATATTTCTATTATTTTCAAATACAATAATATCGTTAACGAAATTATCTAAAAAATAATAATAATTAAAAACATAATTATTTATATACATATAATTAATTAGTCAATACCTCTATTCCTCTGTTGTAATTTATAATAAATAATTTCCAACAATAAAAGCCAATATTTTTGCTACTAAATTGATCAATAAATGTCAAAATCTATTTTAGAAATATTAATTATCAATTTATATTATATATATATATATATATTATCAAGCTTAGTGGTAAATATTATATATCATACTTTAAATTTTAATGATAAATTGATTGAACTTTTAAAATATAACTTAAACAATAATGGGAGACAATTATTTGCCATCTTATAAATTATTGATGATATATGGATTAGAAATATCAAAATAGTAATATAAAAAAGTATTAATATAGTTATAGTAATTTTGAATAATATGAATGAATTGGAAAATATACAAATGAAAGTAAACGCGGATATAATTATACTAATTGTAAACCAAATAAGTGCTAAAAATCGCGACCAATAGTTATTATTCAATTCATTGATCTCTGAAACAAAATTATTTAATAAATTAATTGATTTATCGGTGTCTTTAAAATATTTTTTATGTTTGATTATAAGCTGAAAATTTCTGATAATGTATTTAAGTTTAAGTCTGATATAATAAGTGACAAAATAATAGTAAGATAATTGCCAAATAATAATATTATAGATATATTTAAAAGTTATGGTCCATAATATGGTGTGAGGAATGGCCACAAATATCAACTCATTTACTGATACATTATTGACATACATTGATATAACAATCATAAATATAGATAACGGTATTGATTTGACCAATTTGTCGGACATTGACAGCAAAAATTTGGACAGTTTTATCAATTTATAAACCAATTGTTTATTGCAAATATTAATATCTTTTGGTGCAATCAAACCCGCAATCATCCAAAATACACGCAAATCAGTAGGTTTTATGTCATTTATATAGTTATAATAATTAAGTAATTGTGATAATAATGCAATAGTAGGCACACTAATAGCCACTACATTGATTAGGATTTTTTCACCAATAAAATATCCGACATCACCAAAATATAAATATATTGTACGGCTTTGCTCCGGTATCACCATAAATATGACGTTCCTTAAGATTATTTGTAATATTATGACAAAAATTACTATTGGTTTATGTAAAACATTTCTAGTGGCCATCAATGGGTTATACATTTGTAGACCTATTGTATATAAATGTGTCCCGGCTTTGGGTACAATTAAATTTAGTGGCAATACTTTATTTATATCTAATTTATCGGACATTTTGTACATTTTAAATAATAATTATTTTGTATTTGAAATGTTTCAAATTTTATCTTATTAAAAACTTTCTTATTATAAATAATGTTTTATTTGTAATAAGCATAAATATTTATATTAATTTATACAGTATAAAAATCTCATTAAAATATATTAATAAAAAAATAATTTATATCAATAGTTAGCTGGCATTTATGATAATAATTATAATTTAATAATTTAGATATTCAAGTACAGTGCAATATTGTCATAAATAATAATAATTATTCAAGGTTATTATATTGTTAATTAAAAATAATTAATTAGTAGTTATTTATAACTTTATAATTATTTTTAAAAAATAATTTACTTAATATTAGCAATAATTATTCAAAATTGCAAAAAATTATATATAAATTTATTGAACTATTAGGGATACTTAAAGTATTGAATAAATGTGATAATTTAAATAACTATAAATATTAAATTTTTATACATTTGATTATTATTACATCAAATGTGTAAAAATTTAATATTTATAGTTATTTAAATTATCATATTTATTCATTACTTTAAGTATCCCTAATAATTATAATTTATAATAAATATTCAATTTATTTAAACAAAGTAATACAATATAATTATGAAAAATAATTGTAAAGATAACATATTTATTATTATCACTATATAATAGTTATCTCTTACACTTTCATAAAAATTTATTATATTATATGATATATAAATATATTTTTAATAAATACCTAAATTATTACAAAATTTGTTTTAAATAGTTGAATTGACTGTATTCARGCAAACTGTTTTTCATAAAAAAATTAAGGTATTTATAACAAAATAATTAAATATATATATWTTTTTATACATTATAAAGAAGTAAATTTGTTATAAAATGTCAAAATTTTGTTAAACAAAATACAAACTTTGGTTTCATAAGCAAATTAAGCAAATATAAGAACCGGTAATTAAAGCAAAATGCAAACAATTTAAAGCACTTATAATTATAATTAAATAACTAATTAATAAAATTACAGCAGTAATATAATAATTTATGTGATAAACAACTAATGATTGCTTATTTGTGACTAATTATTAACAAACATCTGGTTTAACATAATTTATAGGCTTTATCTTAATATCAGACTCTCATCACATTCTCTACTCATCAGTTATTTGAATATMTAGTAAACCATATTATATAAATAAAAATAACCAATGATAATGTTATAGATAATTTTATACTGTATCATTTTGTATTTGATTATTTTTTAAATTTAATTGTAAGGTTAACAAAATAATTGCAACGACCGCTTAAAAGAGATGCAATTATCTGATGAATCATACAAATAAAAAATGACCAAGTTTAAATAACCTRCAATTTGTCATTTTAATATAGAAAATATGGTTTACTAGATATTCAACTTAAATCACTAGTCGGGAGTAGATTTTAAGATATTGCCAAATGTATGCCTATATTAACTACAAATTATTTTTTATTGCGATTATCTGGTCATTCATTTAACACCAAGCACTGACCAATAATATATATATATATATTAATTAAAATACAATCATAATCTGATAAATAACTTTAAATTGTTATATAATTAATTATTGTTTAAATTAAACTAAAATGTTTCAAACAAAAAATCAATTTAAAGTTAAGCAAAAAACAAAAAATCCTGTAAAAGCTCTTTAAATGGCAGGTATTTAAATGAAACGTTGATTTTTTGTTGAATTTTTATCGTAAGTACTGATGGACTCATCTCCAAGAGTACGCTTACGATCCGAAGTACGGGATGATTGAGCGTCAGTGACAGCGGTCACGGGTTCGTCATTTGTGGCCTTATTTGACATTTGTTGGGTGTTGTGGTCCACGGCTTGGTTTTTGACTGAATTGCGAACAAAGTGTTCAAAAAAATGATAATTGTTTTGTTTGATAGCTGTTATGAAGTCTGTGTCAGTCAACACACTTTTAAAGTCGATATTTAGCTCATCGATACATTTGAGCGCTTTTTTGCTATCAAATCTTTGGTCAAAACGTGGATCAGTTAGTCCTCTAACTAAATCAATTGCTTTACCCATTAGTTGCTTTGCACGGTTCAACTGTGTGCCAGTCAATTGATAACAGTTTGTTAAATGCATGGTTTCAGAGATATACGGACTATTGGTTGTAATTATATATAAATTATATTACAATTTATATAACTTAATATATTAATACAGTAAAAATCAAATAAAATTATTTATTTATCAAATAAATGTATGCAAAATACACTCACAGAATGTGCATAGTTTTGTATTTCGGTTTTTATAATGTGTTCAACAATATAACTATAATATCAATAAGTGACTACATTTTGGTGATATACAGTACATAATGTCAATAATATTTTAATCATTTTTTATATTAAATCAATAGTAATGACGTTTAGAAAGTAACTAAACTAAACTTAAAGACAATGTTTTCCTAATAAAGACTAAATTAATTACTAAAAAAGAGACCAACTTTTGCTAAATAATAGTTTTAATTGATTTTTACTGTTATGATATTGTTTTATGAATAAAACATACATAAAAAATGATACATTAATAAAGTTAACTCACTTATGATTGTCATTTAATTGACTTATATTTTGAATACCACAACAACTGCAACAATAATTAAACAAATAGTCAATTATAGATTAATTTCATTGACTATAATATAATATCATATAATATCATACCATACATACAATTCATGCAATTCAAGAGTTTGTGCCAAAATCAGTCCCAAAGAGTGTGCATCTAATTTCAACATATCTGTGCCAGTGATGGCTTCGGATGTCTTATATAGATCTATACAGTTGTCGAGTACTATAACTCTTTGATTGTTAATGTGGAAGATATAAGGGAAGCCACGGATTGATAACTCGTTATCATTTATGTCAAACAATATATGTTTGGCACTGAGTTTACCGTGAAATGAATATTCTGTGTTTAGATGAGACACACATTCGGCCACTTTATAAAACAGGAGTAACCGTAGTCTCAGTTCAATCAATGACATAGACTGACCGTACGGACGATTAAATAGTCGTCTAATAATATTCCAGACCTTTGATAGTTTGTAGTCACACTTCTTCATCTGAATATACAGATAGTCTTGTTGTCTGTCATTCCTCTCAATCCATAGATTGACAAAATAGTGTTGACTTTTTATCGTCCGTTTAATCCAATCTAAAGTACAGTCGACTACTGTTTGCATTTGTATATCATTAACACGTTGTGTCACATATGCGGCCAAACCTATCAAATAATATATCATTTATTTAATAGTTATTACAGATATTATAGTTAGTGACTAACCGTATAAATCAATAATTTTCAAATAATATTGTTTATCATTCAATCGATGTCTAACCGCTTGAATCCAGTGATACTGACTCCACGAAACTCGTGGTCCGTCTTCAATGAAGTACTCCTTATATCGGTTTTTAACAACACTTTTACCGCAAACTAATTATATATTATATAACAGATTACAAGTCATGAAATCACTTATAAGTCATTTACCTGTAGATTGTGTGCACTGACCCACTCCGCTGTCGCTGTCATTAACAGCACTTGTATTGCCATCGCTTGCAATCATACCTCTCCTACTGTCTAACCATTTAACTCAACCGAACCCCTAATGTATGATCAAACAGGTGTTGTCTAAGTTGTTGATTGATATGTTTGTTATATGACTTAACGTTACGCTAACGTTATGTTTGACATAGAAATTGTAGTCCTATTGGCAGTGAAAGTGTTTGCAAATGTGTCTCACATTTAGACACAAATCCATTGCAAATATAAGAGACAAATCAAACAGACAGACAATTATGTCTTATTTTAAATCAAATGTTTTATTAAGTTTTAATACATTTGTCATAAATATATAAGACATCATTGATTTCATTTCACATAATTATTACATCAATAGTATTTAAAAACTTTAATTTATATACAATCCCTCTATAGTGTAATGCAATGTTGTTATATGATTAATGTATTCAAAAGAGTAAAGTTATAATTAATATATAAAATGGACTTTTTCTATATCTACAATAATAAACATTGATGTAATTATAATACAATTACAATTACAATGATGTAATATTACATGTGTTACTATACTATCAATTATATAATAAATAATATATGTTTTAATAAGTTTATATCAAAGTACATAATAAATATGTTTCTATAGAAACATATGATTAAAGCTAAATATATTATTGAATTTAGTCTACAATTAATACACAGTTTAGTATTTGATTTAAAATATTAATATATAATAATGCAATTAATTAATATTAATATAYTTTATTTGCACATAAATTGTTTACAAAATTATTGATTATAATTACGTAATACAGTCTACAGTGCATTGAAATACATGTATTCATAGTATGAGTTTTATATCATAAGACAATAAAATGTTTTTAAATTATTAGTAATATGTATTAATAGCTATTATTGTATATATTATTATATAATATACAATTGCTATTAATACTATACATATTAATAATAATAAAGTTTTAAAAAACATTTTTATATTTATTATAAAGASATTTAATTTTTGTGATATTTCACTCTTTTATGTTTTACCTAAAAATGTTTATAACTCAATCATATAATACATTTCAATTTAACAAACAATGTATTATAATTACAATTTTCAATTTTACTGATTTATCAATTAATTATTACTAAAATAATTTTACAAAAATTATAGAAAAAGTTAAATTATTATATTTAATAATTTTTAATAAAGATGATAAATTTTATCAAATTTTACAAAATAATGTTAATTAAATATAAATAATGTAAAACAATATATTTTATAATATAACTAATTGTTTCCTTAAATTGTAATTTAAATGTTAAAAACTAAAACTCTTGTTATAAAAGACAATAAAAATTAGTTTCCATTTACTATAAACTATATAAATATATTTATAAGAAAATTGATACATAAGTACCGGTAATTTGAAAATTAAACTATAAATTCATATCTAATTAATTAAACTGTATATAAATTTCTAAATTATCGGTAATAATAATATAACATATATTAGAGTATAGAAACCTAACGTAATATTTAGATTTTATTAATTTTACGCATTATTACCGCTAATAATAATAATAATAAAATAATTAATAAGCAAATATATAAAATGCAAAAATATCGTTACCTGAAATTTTAAATTATTAGTTTACTGTCACTTAATATCGCATTAATTGGAGATAATTATTAAAAACACCCAACTTTTACATGTTTGACAATAATTTATGATATAGTCTAATGTACGGTAATATTAGGATTATCTCATATAAATTGCAAGTARTTTAAAACAAAATATATTCAAAATTACCGTAAAATCGTGTTTATTTCCCATATGGAATTAATAAAAAATGAAAAATAACATTATCATATGGTAAAAACTCGCATTTTTTACCATCATTGGTAATAATTAAACAGTAAATTATTATACAAAGTAAAAAAACTATATTTTCATGTGAGAGAAAACTCKCATTATTCCCCATGACTTTGACATTTCCATATGGGAGAAAAAACACAATTTAACGGTACGGGTAAAGTGTTTTCAAGTGATTTTAACCTTAAAATTATTGAAATAATTGAAAAACTTTTTCAATAATTTTGTGTCAAAAATCATTTGAAAACAATRAAATATATTTCATTGCTTGACTATTATCCAAATAATTTGATAAAAATTTGGCTTAAATTAGATAGAAGTTTAATATGTAAACAAGTTTAGCCATAATCTACACGTGCAACACAAGCACACGTGTGTTTAGTTGCAATAGTGTGTATCACAAACATAAATATTGCAATTTTTGTCTAACAAATTCATAGAAGAATTTAAACTCATTTTGTTTTAATTGTAACAAATGTTTGTCAAAATTGTGATCACTTTTGACACATTTGTCATCAATAAGCCATTCATTACTTCGCTGTAATATCTGTTGACTCGACGGTCTATTGTTATAGACATACGATAGCATTGATGATACTATTAATTTCATRTTTCCCATACATACGGTCAGAATTTTATCATTAGACTTAAACGGTATGTCATAACTAATAAATAACAATTAATTATTAATTATTTAAAATTTTAAAACAAAAAAAACTTACTCAATATTGACATCAAATAATTGAGTTGCAATAACACCTAAACTATAGATATCAGCTTTAGTATTATAAATGATACCTAAGTTGACTTCGGGTGCCATATATTTTGGATTACCCACAGCTGATGTATGTTTCATAAACTCTCTTTCGTGGACTTGTGGCTCATGAACTGTGGCCAAACCAAAGTCACATAACTTAATAAATCTATTATTATTAGGTCTTTCAACTGTCAATATATTATAAGGTTTAAGATCCCGGTGTATGACTTGTGGTCGACACGTGTGATGCAAATACTCGACACACTCTACAATCTCTTTAAATATCTGACAACTTATATAATATTCAAAAAAATCCATGACTTGTGATGTCTGTCTCTTCAATACATTTGGTTTTATCTCAAGAATATTCTGTAAACTTTGTGAACATAATTCCATTTGAATGAAAAATTGATTGTTTTCTATCCACGAATCGTAATATTTAACCACAAATTGTGGATTCAATTTAGACAACATTTTCGACTCTTTCCATACATTTTGTAATATTTGGTCATTTGGTTTATCAGAATCTGTTAATTAATAAAAATTGATTGAATATGTTTTAATTAAATTGATTTAATTTTGATTGAATATAATTGAATCAACAAATTATAATACCATACCTAATATGTTGATAATTTTGATGGCGTAATTATTTTTATTAGTCTTATTCTTAACCTTAAATACTACACCAAAACCTCCCTTTCCTAGTGTTTCCATAACATTAAAGTTACCGAAATTGTCATTTGCTTTTAGGTCTAGAAATAAATAAATTTTACAAAATAAGTATAAAATATTCAAATAAAATGTTTAATAAAAACAAAATTACTTATAATATTGCGATCAATATTATAATATTTTTGATTATCAATGGTTTGATGCGTTAACTTATGTTCAATAGCTACGAACTCATCGGCAGACTTATAGCGGGTTTCGATTAACTCATTGACCGATAAAATTTGATAAATTTTACGGTTACTGATAGACCATCCAAATAATATCGACTTATTATGTTTTTGTGAAAACAAATGGTAAATGTGGTCAAAGATAATAACCGGTCTATTGTTATCCAAATTTTGGCCAATAGTTAAATAGTTTTCGTTATTAACCAAATCTATATCTCGTTTAAAATCTCTATTGAATATATCGTTAATTTCGTAAAATTTTATTATATTTGTGTCGATATTAGTGCCCATATATCTCCAGAGTACCGGTTGTTTGGTTAATGGCGTATACGATCTGTAGTTATAATAACTGCGATTATTACCCCAAATATATATTTGTCCATCAGATGCAATGGCCATTGAAGCAAATCTATAGCACATAATATCTGTAAATTTATTGGACATCCCATCAAACAATTGGATGGGTTTGTGCACATCATAGTCTCTATCGACTACCTGTCCATATTGATTACGACCCCAACCATATACCCGACCATCACTGGTGACCACCAGTGTGTGGTTAAAACCGCAACAAATTTTATTGATATCTAAGTTATCCAAACCAGTTATAAGTTCTGGTTTACCATAAATTTCTTTGGCATTTATATCGCGACCCAACCGTCCCGATAGTGTTAGTCCCCAACTGTATACCCGGTTATCATAGGTTAGTGCCAAACAAAAGTCCTCTCCATTAATAAATTGTTTGACTTGTTTGAAGCTGAGCTCCGGTATCTCTACGATCTGAGTAATACATTCATCGTGACCTAAGCCCAGTAGTGACCATTTGTTAGATCCCATACCGTAGACAACGCCGCCAATAGTTATGACCAATACGTTGAATCCGGTAATGTCGTCAAACACGTGAAAAAGTTTGATGTGTTTGCGCGTGTTTTCCGGTATTTTATTGATAATAGCAAAGTCATTCATAATTGACATCATTTTTATCGTATATATTATTTATAAATCAAACAATATTTCGGTAATTATCACAAAAAAAAAACTTCTATTWATAACTTTATTAACATAAACTGTAAAAATGTTAATACAGTTCAATATATTTTATATTACAATTAGATATTTTACACAATTATAACGTTTAAGTAAATATTTATCATATTTTAGTGAAATTGTATTCACATATTTATGGTTCATTATAAATATAAAAGATAATAAGTTTAATTAAATGATTAATATTAATCAAAATATAATATATGATAATGAAATAAAATAATATAATGTAATGATAACCATACAAATTGTAACTCAAATAAATTGTTATAAACGCAAAAATGTCTAATTTTGAAATTTGCTATTAATATTATTTAATAATAATGTAATGCATATTATTTTAACTAAATGTAAGCGACATCTACTGTATTACTGATATCATATATATATATATATAAAATATAAGTTATAAAATTTATATTATATAACTATTGGTTAAATAAGATAAATAATTCAGAATTATTATAAATATTTTTAAAATAATTATATAGTATTATAATTATAATAAAACTTTAAACTTTAGTTATAAATATATTATGTTTACACTATTATTAATTGATTATTAATATTATCCAAATATAGCAATGATAATATGTTAGTATAATTTATCAAATAATATTGATGCAATTATATACTGTACTTATATTACCGGTGGGTGTAATCTTTATAGTTATACAATTTCAATATTACAAATACAATAATTTAATCTATTATATTGTGATTGTTAGCTAAAAATAACACCGTATTTATACACCATATAATGTTTGSTATTTGTATTTTATAAACAGTTATAATATAAATATTTATGGCATTATTTGTTTCTAATTATTTATTAACATAAGTTATTCGTAGGAAAATACAATACAGTATATAAATTATATAAATTATATACACTATGATATGATATATTTTATTTGATTTGTTAAAATTGCTAAATCATATATATTTAGTTAACAAACATATGTGAGAATTTGTATAAAACAAATGATGATATCATTATTTTTTGTAATTTAATGTAATTTTTTTAAAAAACCTGCAAATATGATATATTTGTCTTATGATTTGATAATTAAATGATATTTAAATTRATGTCAAAAATTATTATTTTTTAATTAAATTAAATTATAATTATTACACATTATATCCATTATACAAATTTTCATTACATAATAAATAAATATTGATTAATAAATTTGCATATTATCTAAATATAATGAAACGGTTGTCTTATTTATTTGGCGACAGCGAAGCCAAGCCTATGATTTCCGACATCAAACTCTGTATAGTAGACACCGATAAAAACATCTCCCAATATCCAAGAGGGGGCGCCGCCCAATGCAAAGCCCTGAAAACCGGTCACACAATCGGCATTTCCATAGTCATCGGTCTGTATTAGCGTATACTGAGCCGCAGTCAGTGGGAAATCTTTGCCACCAATTGTAATGACAACATCGGGAAGACTATCCATTAGTTGACAATCATAATGATATAATTGATCGTTTGGTGAATATGTTGCACCCAATTGATTGTTTAAAATATACATTTGATTTGCGGGACCGGTTATCAGTGAAGTTCCCGTATCTGCTATTGCATTACATCCATTACAAATAGATATAAAAGTTCCAGAGATTGACATCCGATCCATAGTGAACTGCCACCACAAGTTTGAGGTCACCGGTACGTACGTAAAGTCTCCTGAATAGTGATCGGGATCTGATCCGCCAAAAATGAGTTCACCACCGGGAACGTCATTTTCATTGCGATCCAAATAAAATGAAAATACGGGTTGAGGTACCAGTCCTTGATTGATCATATTTGTGAAAGGAGTGGTCACTCCATCTGCCAGAGCGTCAAATGCGAGACCAAAAATGCCATCAAATGGTCCATCAGATAGTTGTGGACTGGTTTGTATGGCCTCACCAAATATCTGTTCCTTCACCTTAACATTGCCAACAGTTAAGGTGTCTGCACCTAAAAATGCTTTCAGTGATCCGGAACCGTATTTTATTTTCAGAAAACCTCTAACTGATTGATGTGTCGYAGATTGTCGTGAATTGTATTGATTGTGTGAACCGCATCGATAACATTGAACTGATGGCACCCATAGATTAGCACTTCCAGTATCAAAAAGTACCTAAAAATTTACAGTTTAGAAAATATAAAATATTGGGTATTAATATATACATTACTGTACTTACACTAAAAGTTTGTGGAGGTGTTCCCAAACCAATGTTTCCATAGTATGATGTGTCAAAATTGTTGGTTAATTTTATATCAAATGGATTATTATCTMTGAATGTAGGCYTCACTCGATTCCTGTATGTTCTGGGAGTGAGATCTTTAAATACCTTAACTCTAACAAGATTTGTATTATTAGACAAACATTGGTTAATATTTAACAAATTTATAACTGTTAGTAAAAAACAACTAAAGATAGAAATTTTCATTTTAATTAATAATATCTATGATAAACATTAATTATTGAAATATTAATAAAACTACAAATCTTTTGAGATAATATTAATTTTTTAAGAATGTTTAGTCATTTATTCAACAAAAATATTTAATTTGTCATTTTTTACATAAACTATTCTCTTAAATAGTTAAAATAATTTACGAAAAAGTTAGTAATATTTTATTGTTACGCACATTAAAATTTTTAGTCATTCAAAAATATATTTCGTATATCCTTAAAGACACTGTATATGAATAATCATAAAATTATATTCAAAACTAACCAAAACTATATATTTATGACAAAATAATTTTTATTACAYGATATTTATTAAACTTAATCATGTCTTATAATTTAATATTAAAAATAATATAAAATTATTATATAAATATAAAAATAATAATTAAAACATGTTTTAATCAATTGTCAAATGCAATTTACGCAACCTTATGACAATACAATTATTATTTATTATTTTTTCAATAAATGAAATTATAATATCATATAATAGTATAATTTATTAATAATGATTTTTAAATGTTGAATACATWGTTATAGATTAGTACTATATTTGCATAAACTATAGACAATATTTTATTTATTAATATAAATTGTAATAACATTATAATTCAAATAGTTTGATTAAATTTATATAATTTTAGTTTTGATAAAAATAATACAAATTAATGTGAAAACAAAATCATTAATGCGATCACTCACTGGAACCGTTAGATCTGCGTCTCTGACCATTTCTACGGCGCTGTGATCGAGCCCGGGGAGCATTACCAGTGTTACCATTACCGCCCGGACCATCAGTAGAACAGGGGGCCGCCTCCCTCTTCTCACGCTCTAAACCCCCGACAACAACAGTATTGTCGTTGTCGTCCAACGGCATTGCGGCGACCAAATTGACTGCCAAAACACCGATTAATAATAACCCAATTATGACTTTACCCTTCATTATGTTGTTTGCTTGGAATGGAAATAATTATAAAGATTTTATTGGACTATAATCCTATGTATAAGTAATTGTAAAGTGATTTTATATAATAAGTTAATCTAATATTTATACTCTTTGTTATTTATTCAGATGATTTGATTTAACAATTAAAAAAACTGACATTCAATATGTGTTTTATTTGAAAAAATATATAAAACATTTATTGATAAAATATTGACATAATTTACATAATATAAATAATAATTATATACAGTATATTCAATTATATTTATTTACATATGATTTAATGTCAAAATTATTGAATATTATATTCTACAATTCACAGTAATATTTATTGATAAATAGATAGAAGTTCACTTGAACTATTTTATAAAATCATATTCAATTAATATTATATATTAATACTGTATATACAGTAGTAGTTATACTGCTTATACTGTAGATAAATATATATAATAAAATAAATATTTATATAAATAATATAAATTAATAATTGTTGTTTAATACTGTATTTTAGTTAACCTAATTGTAACATAAAATTCTAATTCAAAACTATTAATTCTGATTAAACAATTTTTAATGCATTTTTATTAATATCTTTTTCAACAATTYAACTAGATACAAATTAAAATCTATTATGTTTTAATATATCACATGAATATAATAATATACTTATATGTAAATATATTTGTTTGTGTAAATTTATTTATAATAATAATAATACCATATTGCATATACACTTTTTAAATATCTATTGAAAAAATCCATCACAATAAATGACACATATTATACAATATTATAGTTTTTTATAATTTAATAAAAACAAAATTTTAATATCTAGTTAAAAAAATTATTATTTAAAAAGTAGTCTTAATAATCTATTTGTTTAATATACTTTTAATATCAACATTACTATATAATGTAATAAAAAATTTTATTTGAACAATTTGAATTACAAATATTTTATAATTAAATAATTAATTTAATGTTCCATGACTATAAAATGAATTTATATAATTTTATTACATATTATAAAATTCACAATTTTTAATATAGTTTATTATAAGCATATAAAAGGTTTTTACATAAAAGGTGATCACAAATATATAATATTTCACTTTAAAGATTTATTAATCTCTAAAATAACTAAAACTATATAAATATGTAATAATTTTTGTAAAATAAATGTTAAAATTATTAATATAAAGTGCTTTCCGTGAATATAATAGTCAATATAATGTACATTAAATAATTGTACTTAAATTGCTACTAACAATAACTATTGATAATTAAACATTTTTAGATAATGAATCATAATTTAATTTATTTTGATAATACTATAATTTTGATAAACAGCAATGCAATCATTGTTATTATCTAATAAAATAAAATAAAATAATTAGCATTAAAATAATTATAAGTTACAGTATATAGTAATATATTTGTAGAATAAATACTATAAAATTACCTCAAAACCTCTCATTGAATTAATTATAAATAACTTCCAGCAATAAAATCCTACTTTTTCTCTGCGATTCTTTCAATTAATAGCAATAACTATAAAATGTAATACAGTTTAATCAATTAATAAAAATTAAACAATTTTTATAAATTAAATTATACAATATTACAATTTTTTATGAATTATACATACCTTTAATTTTATCAAAGGATTTGTAGAAATAGATAGAAAAAYAGAATTCATAAAACAGTCTAAATTATTAACACTTTTATATATTGCCGAAGATATGTGAATCATAAATAGTATAATAWATAAAAAAATCAGTGAATATAAAAAGCAACCGATTCTGAAAAATATATTAACATTTGATAAAAATAATATAAATATAAACGAAGATATTATTAAACTCAATGTGGACCACATTATTGCCAAATATTTTGACCAATAAATGCAATTATAATGATTTATTTCATCAAATAATTTGTAATAACTGCTAATACTTTGACTTAATTTTCTTTTGAAACTTTTAATCTTTTTTATTTGTTTTAATCTATTTGTTAGTAATTGTAATTTAGTCTTCAAATAATATGTTATTATATAATAATAACAAAATTGCCAAACAATTATATGATAGACATAATGGCATGAAATGGCCCATAATATTGAATGTGGTAATACTATGATTATCATTTGAGTTATGGTTACATAATTAATTGGTAAAAATGTTAAACAGATAAACGCTACATAAAATAAAGATTTACTAATAATTRTTGATAATTTAAAAGCATATTTAGATATTTTCAATATTTTATAGACAACAACATTATCAGTAATGCCAACAGATTTTGGTGTAATTAAACCGTTTAGTACATGAAATATAAGCAAATCATCGGCTTTTATATTGTTTAGATAATTATAAAAATTTAGTAATTGTGACAATAATCCGATTAACATAATCAATACGACCAAAATGTTTGTCAGCAAACGTTGTCCAATAAAATATCCGATATCACCGTAATATAAATAAAAATATGCCGATTGATTTGGTAACAATATTAATATAATATTTCTAACAAAACATTGAAATATAATAAATAAAACTAAAATTGGATGATATAGTATATGTCGACTAATGTCTATTGTATTGATTAAACTTAAACCATAAATATAAAGATGTGATCCGGCTTTGTGTACAATCATTGTGGGTCCCAATAATTTGTTGAAATCAATTAAATCATATTTTGATGAAAATTTATTATTTGAATACATTTTTATTTATTTGATAATCAACATTTATAAAGTATCAATATATACTGTTATTTATTACTAACTTTGAAGTTAACATTGAAGTATTAACTAATATTATTTTATAGCTATAAATATAAATATTACTAATTTACAAGTTTTGTTAATTAATACCAATTAATATAATATAATTATATTGCTAAGTAAACAAAACTAATTATGCATATTTTTTTATTATTTATTTTAATTTTATATATAATTATAGACTATTTGCTAATAATTTATAATATATTAATTCAAATATTGTTATTTGTTTTACTGATATAATATTTTTAAAAATTTAATAATTATTTATTTGAATATTAATATTATCTATTACAGTAAAGAMATTAATTATARAAATTGCAAAATATAATTTATATTTACATTTTATTAGATAATTAATTTAATTGATTTGTATCTAAATAATRCAGTATTCTAATAAAAGTGTATTATTTGAACTATTATTATACTAATTTATAAATTGTATATTTAATAATAATAAACAATTATTTTACTAGTTAGTATATTTTCAATCAATCAATAATTTAAATAATTATTAAAGTTAAATTATTAAAATATGAATATTATATGAATTTTAATAACATTTAATTATATATTAATGTATGAATTTATAATCATTTGTAATATCATTTTAAAACGTTTCTTCAATTATGTTATCAGAAAGAGAGATCAGAAATTTTAATATTAATTATAATATTATACATAAATAATTGTTACATTTTGAATCTATAAAAAAAACTTTATTTACTTTAATTATTTTTAATTAATAAAATAACATTTCAGAAAACTTACTTCATATCCTCTAATATTATTAATGATAAACAATGTCCAACAATAAAATCCAATATATTTATMAGCAATTTGTTCAATCAATGATATTATCTAAAAATAAATTAAAATAATATTTTGATAAATGACGATAATTTAAATATTTTACCTTAAATTTGATTTTAAATGATTTAAAATTAGTTAAAACTAATGAATTAATTAATGGATAAAAATCAAAAACCAATTGATATACTGAACTTGAAATGTATACAATAAATGGCTAAACTTAGTAAATAAAGTATACATAYAAAAGTTTCGGCGATTTTGAACAATATATTGTTGTCGACAAAAATATGTATAAATTGTATTTTGTTGTGACTTTTGTCCATTACTTCCATTACTTTGTTTTAATTATAAATATTTTCATTTCTTTAATTTTTCTGTTTATGTCTTCTMATTCTTCTTCTAAATCTTCAAACTCTTGTTTTTCTTTTTTACAGGTATTTCAACACATCCTCCGAATATATGTCTGAGTAAACGGCAGTCCGTAAGCCTTTTAGGGGGTAAAAGGCTTACGGACTGCCGTTTACTCAATAATATCAATATATTATATCAATAATTAATATTATAATATTAATATCAATGTATCAMTTCTTGTATTATTATTATAATTTAATTTATTTTAAGCAATATTTTATCATTAATTGTTATATTATTTTAAATAATTTCCGATTAGAAGATGACATGATTTTCTACCCCAACTCTATCCCATTCATTGCTAGCAGAGATACAGTGCATTTGAGACACATCAGCACATATTAGTGCTAAATATGTTATGTTTGGATCAGTTTATGAATTTTTATTTTGAAAAAATATATTAATATTTWATAAAATGGTATTTTTATTAATTCAATTTTATGATTGGATTTTCTCAAATGCTGTGTATKACTGATTGCTAGTAAGTAAATGTAATTCAATTTTCGTCACGCGTTTTATTTTCTAAAAATTATTTKTTCTATTTTTTCCAKGAATTTATAGGTATTGAATCTAAACAACTATTTATTCTAATTGTGTATTTCGAAAAAAWTTTCCGGATCTCTATCAAAATAAATGGAACATTATATCCCGTTAATACCCCTAATTTGTATTGCGCAATAATGGTAAACGTTATTTGTGTATATGTGTAACCCCTAAGCCTATTAGATCAATGCATTTTAATATAAAGTGCTATAAATATAATACATGTGAATATGAAAGTCAATGTATTTAAGGAATTATGTTAATAAGGAATGGATTTATAAAACAATTAATTATTTGTTAATTTGATAATCAATTTTTGTGATTAATATCTCATTAGAGAGCTATTTATATGGTCTCTCAAATGTAATCATCAATTTAACGCCAATTATTATCACAATAACACAATTGTGTCACAATTAAGACTACCTCTGGTTAACAATAT